AGGGCAGTTTGTGATTGATTTCGTATATGCATCAACCGCATATTGTTGTCTTGTTGATGTCACACATAGATTCGTGGCAAATGAGCTGTGTATAAATGTATAAAATCACCCCCTTAAATTGAAGGATATATGTTCGTGTGAACATGTATATATTGACAAATGCATTGTTTCATTTCAGAATAAATCCATGTTTATTGAACTATATGGTCCTCTGTGATCTCTTTGTCTGCTGGGATATAAGCCTGCCTTAGGGACTCTCCAGGTGTCACAGAATGTAGCTGCTGGTTTCATAGCCAAGGTAGTTTGCGTGATTTATAGTCGGAATTAGATGTCCTTTGATCTATTTTTAAAAAATCACTGCATTCTCTATGTTGTATGCTACGTCTCGACACAATAAGATAACAACAACAAAAACATATACAAAAGAACCCAGTTTTGAACCAACCAGTAACAACATGATATACAACTAACAAGTGTGCTATAGAATTAGATAGGGTCATAAATCAATATAGGTAACTGCAAAGGAATCACAATGGTAGTACAAAAAGTAGTAGCATAGTGTATTGCTGTACCATTAAAATCATTATAAAATAGAAAAGCAGTGGTAATACCAATAAACTCAGTGATGATACTATTCACCCAGGTAAGAATCAGGAAAAGCATGCTACATATGCGGACCTCGCCTTTGAAATGTCTCGCTTGCATCCCAAGTACATTGTCGTCAGACTCCCCATTGTTCTCAGGGCCTTTGGTTTGGTACCTCCTGATCTCTTGGCACAGATCAGGACAGTGGCCGGGTTCTCCGCATGGAGCACAGCCCTTCTGACACTCTTGGTAATGCAGTCTACATATTCTCCGGAAAGACTGTGCCTGGATCACCTGAGCTCTCTCTGCTTCTCATCTTAATCTGTAAAAAGTAAAAATAATAGTCTCATGCAGGTTTTAATTTATAGCCGTTCTAAAAGATCCCGCATTACACTAGACACTAAACGACTCACAATATAGTAACTGCCATTCCACTGCTTAAATTAGAAAGTAATATATTCATGACAACTAACTGGTGTTGAAACACGGAGTCATGTATTTTGATTGAAACGAGGCGACTAATGGGGACACATCTTATCGTATCCCAACTGCGTAGGTCGCTGTTCATGACATTGATCACTGGATTGTCTGGTCACGATTTGATTATTTACAGATCGCCCACATACAGCAGTTATAATGCTAAGTGCGGGGTTAAAAAACAAACAAACAGTAAAACAGTTACAACATTCTGTAACAACATTGACATATTTTTTCACAGCGTTTCTAAAATTCAATTCTAAAGGCTTGGTGGTTTTCAAATCCTTATTGAGAACCATATCACGTTGTCACATGAGAAACGCAGGGTGTAAAGATATCACCTTTACCCTTTAAGAATGCTTCTATTATTCACAGATCTTGCTGTAACAAAAGCATACACATTCATTGGATGTCCTGAAGACCTGTTCTCGACTGCGGTCGCCTGTAAGACACGTCGATCATGTCTTACAACCTATAGGTCTGGTTTACCACTGCATGCACACAGGGCAGTGTGCGGTCGACCTGTAAGCTGTCATCTAAGGTAAGTTATGTTTGGTTGTAGTTCTTCGTCAACAGGCATTTATTTTCTTATTTTATTTAACTATAATATAATTATTTATTGTTCTCGTCACGATATGACTGAAATATTGCCGATGTAACGATAAATATTAACTCACTCACTCATTATGTTTGGTTGTATGCTGTGGGTCTGTAACAGAGCGGGCTAACTTTGTGTTGTATATTTACTAAATAAGGTGGGATGACAATATATGTGGGTACAATATATTTCGAGTGTGTAGATCAATATCTTGGTATCCACATATCCCGCGATACATGCACGACACATTGATGGCAGTGACTGGTACTGCCCTTTGTATAGCAGACTATTCTAGGTGAAGAGCTACCCCAAGCACAACTAATGTCCGTGAGTGCTGGCTCTCTAGCATAAACTCTCAGCCCAAGAACATGCCTCAGGTATTACATATGGGACATAACAAGGGACACCGAGGCCGAGTCCAATGGGTTATAGCCCTTGAAAGCCATATTTAACAAAAACAGAGTTGAAAATAGTGTGGCTCAACCGGCAATGGGCATGGTTGAGTGATCGTATGAATGTGGTTCTCCCGGAAATGGGCATGCTTGAGTGATCGTGTGAATGTGGCTCTCCCTGCAATGGGCATGGTTGAGTGATCGTGTGAATGTGGCTCTCCCTGCAATGGGCATGGTTGAGTGATCGTGTGAATGTGGCTCTCCCTGCAATGGGCATGCTTGAGTGATCGTGTGAATGTGGCTCTCCCGGCAATGGGCATGGTTGAGTGATCGTGTGAATGTGGCTCTCCCGGCAATGGGCATGGTTGAGTGGTCGTATGAATGTGGCTCTCCCGGCTATGGGCATGCTTGAGTGATCGTGTGAATGTGGCTCTCCCGGCTATGGGCATGGTTGAGTGGTCGTATGAATGTGGCTCTCCCGGCTATGGGCTAGCAGCTAGTCCATGTTACCGTAAACAATGGGTATCAAATAATGATATATTCATTGTGTGAAATCAACAAATCTAGTTGAATTGTTCGTGGAGAAAAGTCCAGATCACGCAAACTAGCTGCCTCACGCAGGTACTCAAACACCTTTCATGAAATATTTATGATTATACAACACATTATTTCTTTGAAGCATTTTAACTTATGGGAGGATCAAAGGAATTCAATGTTTTATCCTTTTCGGATAACTGTTTGAGAAAAGAGCTATTGTTGCCTTAGTTATTATGTATACATTCATGCTAAAAACTAATTAAAAAAAACAAATTTAGAAGAATGACCATTCATTGCATAAATATATTATAAACAGCCACATATGTGACGCCTAAAATCTATTTCCATTTCATAGCTTTTTTCAAGCAAAATTTATGACTAGATTGTTTAAAATCTGTATTTTAACCGCCGTTGCGGTAATGACATTTTGATTTAACGTTGAAACGTCACCAATTCTTGTCTAAACTTCTCTGCTGATGCAATATACCAGTCATACAAACCAAAGTAGTTTACATGAAGACTTAAAAAATACAAACAGTTTTCTTAAGAGCAAAAACCCTTGCCCTTTTCCATAGAATGACCCACTAGCATATATTATTTTATCTCAGAAATGATTCTATAGATAGGAAGTAAGATAATATAATCTACAATAAAAGCAGAAAATGCCAAAGTTATCATATGTTAACTAAAAACGTCAACGAGAATAAAGAAGTCGACAAACAAAGGACAAGTCACTAAAATAATTTTAATCCATTGTCATCAATGGATGACGCGTATTAGAAAAAAACGGTATTGATTCCCTTACCCATTGTGGCTTTCGCAGCGTTTCGAGCCACCGAGGTTTGTACTTGAAATGGGGCTTAAGCCGCAATTGGTATTTTTTAAATATGGCTTTCCCGGGCGGACACCAATTTTTGACAACATTTTTCTAGCCAGTCAAACGTCCTTTCACAATCATAATAACCATCTCTCCCACACACACTACACACTAGTATGGTTCCTAGTATGGTGATCAGTTGTTGGCGATCTACAGCCAGTTTTTATATTGTTCATTTAGCTTTAACTTTCCACACTAGTTTTAGTTGTAATTGTGATATTCTAGTTGTTTTACTGTCCTTTGAAGACAGGTTTTTTAATATACACATATAACATTTCAATGGCAAATATGTTCTCGTCACGATATGGCTGAAATATTGCCGATGTGACGTTAAATATTAACTCTCTCACTCACTCAATATATTGTAATATATAAGCTCTTATGTTTATACACATGCATGAAAGGATGAATGGCATACACACCAGACTCTCTACTCGGAAGACGTTTCTAAAGTACGCTTACAGTTGTGAAACATTTTGAATTACGATCCTAACAGGTTTGAGGCTGGTTGTTTCAGCATAATTAATAGGGCTTGAATAGGTCTTTGGACACCTTCTGTACAATTGTTTTCAAGAAGGTTTTTCTGACGGGGCACAAAACAACAACCGATGTGCATGTCTTTACGTTGTCATGAAACATTCCATTTGAAACCAATTCAAATAAACTGCAGATTTTAGGAAACTTCAATTGCAAGGACATTAATGCGTTTTTGCTACAATTGATTCTATGGCAAGTGTTGAGGCTGACTTAACAATAAATGCATTAACAATACCCATGTCCAAGATACTAGTGGGGGTGATGTTATTTTAGATTTGACTGACAAGGCAGTTGAAAATTGAAATACTGTACTCGGTGAGTAAGCTGTCACTAGTGCAAGTTGTCACTAATGCAGTAGTTAACCGGAAATCAGTCCTAAAAGAACTTGGTGAGAAACCAGCAAACAAAGCAATGTGAAATAACCAACAACTGTATTCTAAAATTAGTAAAAACAAACTTCACACGTTAATACAAATCACTAAAAACGGTATTACAGCGGCAGTGTAAAATAGCGTGGCAGTACAAATGTACTACATAATCAGTGATTAAAGCAATAAAGACAGAGTTGGTAATATTCACCTCATTGCAGTTTCCCAGACTGAGTATCCAGGGTAAGATTTGATCTTGATACAATTGCTGGTCTTCTTGTAAATTGAGATGTACAGGAGAGGCAAAAGTTATCTCCCATGTATGTCAAGCCCATGAAAAGCTACCAGGTCTTTCATGAATATTCTCTGTATAAAATAAGTGTTGTAGTAGTACATTTCATTATTCTGTCTAAATGTTACACAAAATATAGAGCGCACCACTTCTACCTGATGGATATCAACAGGTAAAATGTATTACACTTGGAACATTGTATTACAATGAATTAAAATGCCACACAAACTATACTGCAAACTGTAATTAACGGAAGCGTTCAAGGTAAACGTGCGTGCAATAATTTTAAAAATTGTGAAGAACCAGTTGATATGATCTAACTGAATCATATTATATTATCTGTTGAAGGATGTCATCAAAGGAGACAACGAGGCAAGGGGCCTCAGAATCATCTACCCAAATGATACTCAAAGGTAAACTTTCCTCTGACACACGCAGATGTATGTCACATCAGGGTTCTGAACTATACAGACGCTTAGTCTCTGGAATATGCATTTTACATAGAAACTTATAACTTTATTTAAAATGAAAAGGAGTCACGTGAGATGGGAGATTCAAATAGTGTTCTTTTAAATCCCAAGAAAGATCTAATCATAGCACTTGATAGTTCCCTTGTATTTTCTAAAAGGTACTAATAATCTATTATATTTCATCATTACAGCGTATTTTGATGAAGATGGCGTCTTAACAGTGGATTTCCCTCACACGGAACAGACGACGTGGTCTCACGCTACAAGGTGGACATATACACCTTCATATGGGAAATGTAAAATCGTACATACACGAGAAGTTCAGGAATATTTGTGTCAGCTAATGCGTTCTTTGAACAGATTAGCCAATGTGACGTTGGCGAGTTTGCATAATCCTGAAGGGAAAGTAATACTTGTCTTCAAACATGCCACATTGGATAGTGCCTTTAACACGATCCTTGAATTCCTTGATGTGAGAAACAGGGTCTTAACGTTTCTACACAACGTGCAAATACCCGTCGAGGATATGAAAGTGAGTGTTCAGTACGTTGGAATAAATCAACCGACGGAGCAGGATGTCAAAGGTAATATCACCTCAGTTTATGACAAAAACATCATATCTATCACAACCTGTAGTTAGATTGATAAGCACACATAACGTTTACCTTTTTGTGGTGCGATATGTAATATATTAACTTAAAATGGCACGTCTCCAAATTCATTAGCAAACTAATGAAGCATGGCCGCGAGATACTTAACAACGGTAACAGACGGCGCCATGCATAAAGATAGTTCGATGTTGAATCCAGTTTTTATTCACCAGTAAATTGCCTCTCTGTATTGGTCGAGGGTGTATAGTAACGAGCAGAAAAAATGCGACAAAAACTTTATTCTGTAGACTCGATCCTACTATCAAAAAAGCCGAAATACATTGTTTCTAGCCGCCAGTAGCTTGCCTCGTTGGTATGGAATTATCTCCCTTGGGTTCGGGATGGCTTGATCACGTGGCCTCGTTGCTAGCAGACGAAACCGAAGCTTTGCCATGACGTTACAAAACAACAGAACTCGACTCTTGGCATATTCAAATCAAATCAAATCAAATCTTTATTTCTGATACTATGAGGCCACGGGCCTATGAGTACAAAAACACCTCATCGGTGCAGACATGAAATAAAATGATAACAATGAAAGCATGTCTAATATATACAATCTTAATATGACAAAATTGATTTCCTTTTTTCGAATGCATAAAACAGATATTAAGCAGTATTCAAGGAAATGTCTTCATTTTTGGATGATAACAATGAATTGAATTTTAGTATATTGGGGAAAACATAGAATTGCGACAAAAGATATTTACGTCTTAATTCAATGTAGGCTGGACAGATAAGTAAGAAGTGATATTCATTTTCAATTACGTTTAAGTTACACATTTTGCATGTTCTTTGGTCCCGGGGAATGTTATAGTAACGTCCTCTTTCAATTTCTAAACTATGGGAACTTAACCTAAATCGTGATAAACAAGATCTATATTTGGATACAGTAATATGAGTTAAGTATGTTTCACAAGAAATCGTTAATTTAAAATTACAATACGTAAACATTTTAACAAAAACCTTGTTATCTCCGTAAGTGTGTGATACCCAAACATCACCAAAACCTAATTTAAATATGATATTTCTAACCTTGGTAACCCAGTTCTCATAGCCTTGCTCATCATACATACGCATCATATTGTAACATTTTCGAGGCAAACGGCATCCAGGCATGTTAATAAGATTTAACCAATATTTAATACGTTTTAAAACAGCAGATAGTTGGACAGGATATCTACCATACTCGGCTAATACTCCATTATTGGACGTTGATAACTTAACGTTTAGAAAACGTTTGCAGGCATATAAATGTCCTTTTTCCAGTACTTCAATATTATTAAGCCCCCAAATTTCAGCCCCATAGAGGAGAATTGGTGTTATCTTTGTATCAAATAATTTGAAGTACAGATGAGGCGAGTGTGGTTTCAAACAATGTATACTACTAAGAAGTAATGACAGCTTTTTTCTGGCTTAAATAGAAATATTGTCAAACGCTTTCGACCACTGTTGACTGACAATTTCCATTCTGAACTGTACCTATTAAGAACATTTAGTTTAAACTGCAGACTTCTCACGCTGTTCCCAAACAAAATAAGGTCATCTGCAAATAAAAGAAGGAAAATATGAGTAACATCTGGATGTAGCTGGACACCAAACCGACATTCACTTTCAATTACATTAACTAATTCATTTATATAAAACTGAAACAAAAAGGGGCTGAGCATACACCCTTGTCTGACTCCCATTGGGCAATCAAATACACGAGATAAACTACTATTTGAGCGAACACAAGATTTTACACTATTATAAATAGACTCTAACATTTTACCCATTTTACGACTTAGACCGTGTTTATATAATAACTTCCAAAGAAAATGTCTTTGAACAGAATAGAAAGCTTTCGAGAAATCAACAAAAGCTACATAGAATTTACCACCTTTGCGGGAAAGATAACGCTCGATTATAGAATTCAGAACAAAACAATTGTCAAAAACTGAATAACCTTTTCGAAAACCTGATTGACACTCAGAAATTTTACTCAACACATCAGCCCAGCACACTAATCGCTGATTCAGGATGTACGTGAAGACTTTGCTGAGGATACTCAGGAGGCTCTGTAGTTGTCAGGGATAGAAGCGTCACCTTTCTTATGAAAAGGAATTAATATTCCTGTAGACCAGGTCTCTGGGAATTTACCCTTTTGGTACATACTATTGAATATTATCTCGAGGTATGGAACGATTACATGGGAGGAATGTTTAAGATATTCACTCAATATGTCATCAAGTCCTGGAGATTTGTTGTTCTTTAGCGCCTCGAGACTGCGAACGATCTCCAATCTTGTTAAGGGGGAATCCAGAATACCTTCAGTGATTTCTCTTCTAGAATCTGGGGGATCTCTATATCATGTATATCGTCATTAATACATTCTAAATTATCTGGACTGTCGTATAGGGTAGAGAAATAATCCACCCAGTCTCCAATAGCTATGGGGTTTACGACCTGATAAACGTTTTATTGTACCCCAAAAACGTTTCGAGTCAGTTGTCGAGGTCTCCAAATCATTTCTCTGACGTTGAATATATTCTTCTTTCTTTGTTCGACATAAGGACTTGTATTCACTGCATGTTTTCTTATATTTCATCAAGAAAGATTTGTCTTTTGATTTTCTAAAAGCATTTAGAAACTGACATCATTCATGCTTTTTAGAGAGGCATTCACTATCGTACCATGGTGAAGTGCTGCTTTTGTGACTTTCTGGTCGTCTAAACATGGAGGCAGCTGAAAGGATGGCGTCCGTGAATATCGAGACTGCTTCTGCTACATTAGTCAATGAACACATGGCTGCTTGTTCGAGTAATGCTAAAGTCTCCGAGGATTCCATATGATGAAGAAAGTTGAGTTTACACGACTCCTTCCATATGTACCTGCACTGATCTATATGGGTAGAGGTCGGGTTCGGCAAAGAGCTACCGGGTATATTGACCTCTAGCTGTATGGGAAGATGCTGAGATTCAGACCGTGACACGATGTGAAAGTTGGCGATTAAAGGGAACATATCCGTGGTCGCAAGAATATAATCAATCATACTACATCCTAAATGACCTAAGAAGGTAAAATCACCAATGCCGGAATCACTTCCACACCTCCCGTTTACGATATGTATATTCAGTATTGCGCACAAATTCAGTAATGTTTGTCCAAAACTGTTCACAGTCTTGTCACATGAATATCTTACCATCTCAAATTCTGTGAAAAATTCACTTACAAAATCTTTACCCTCAACATGTTGGATAATTGAATCTTTCATATAGTCAGGCGAAATGCCAGTCCTGCTGTTCATATCCCCGAAAACAAAGACTGAGAAAACAGAGTGTGTTTCTACCACTTTCAGTATAAAATTAAGCAAAATTTCGACTCCATTCCTCCCATCCTTGTCAGCATACCAGCTTGAACCTTGTGGATGAACATAACTAAAAACACAAATAATATCTGTGTCAAATCCAAACATTTCCTTGTCAAACGATATCAAAATAGCATTTTCGCCATAAACCACATCAATAATATATTTAACATAAAAACATTTTATCATAACTAATATTCCTCCAGAGTGTCTTCCAAAATTGGCAAGCTTTGTTGCTGGTAAACAAAAATATCTATAACCTGGAAAATACAAACCAAAGTCTGTGTCAGTTGTCCATGTCTCATAAAAAGCAACAATATCATTTGATAGTATAAAGCGAATAAAGTCATTATCATGTAATTTGTTTGATAAGCCGCCAATATTCCATGAGAGAATTGATAAGTAATTGTCTGTTAAGCCCTGGCCTCCCTGCTATTTTCTCGAGGTGGACTTGACCTTCGACATTGACCTGAGCACACGGTCACGGTCATGTGTAGATGTACCAGACGAAGCGTGTGATCCTCTTTCATCCGTGCACGCCAGCAGACGGGCGGACTCTTGGTCACTTCAGGACTCTCAGAGGGTGCTAGATCCTCCACAACCAGCCTTCCATTCTTGTATAACCCTCGTTTGTTCTCCGATCGTAGTTGGCTCAGTGTCTGACGTTGTCGCTTTGTCAGGTCGTTAGCTACTCCAATGTTCTGTTTACCAAGTTCAGGCCGGTCCTTCAGTACTGCGATCTTCTTCATACTGTCCACAAACTTAGTGATCATGGGTTTATCTTTTCCAGGGACGGGTTTCCCTATCCTCTGAGCTCTGGTAATGTCTTGTAGCACAACTGGATCATTAGATCTTACCGTATTCAGAGTGTCTACAACTTTTTGTTTACATGCGTCACCACCTTCGTCACGTGACTCAGGTATGCCATATATGAGTAAGTTGTCCCGCCTACTTATCGCTTCCAGCCTATCAACTTCGTCCTTCAACTGCTCGAGCTGCTCGTGTATGTTGGCTGTTTTATGAATGAACTGTACTTCATTCTCCAGATGACTTGTTTTTTTAGAAACATTATCAATGTCAAGTTTCATTTGTGCCTGTGTATCTTTAATTGAAGATAAATCGTTCCGAATCACACTTAGAGTTTCTGAAATGTCCTTTTTGATTTCACCACATTTCTGATCCAGTTGTATGTATGTTTGTTGCATATGTTGAACCGCACTCTTCAGTTGACTCACTTGATTACAAACCTCTTGTTTATCTTTCTTCATTTGGTCTAGAACAGCTTCAGTTCCAGAATCAAACGGCCCTGGGTTCATTTCAATGTCTCCCGCCTTTAGTAACAGCATTTGGTTCACATTATCCGGTTCTAGACCAAACTCTGTGTTTGTATACAGTGTTCCACGGTACAGGGAGGCAGAGTTGTTTACTGTGACGTCATCAATACTCGACATATTGCCAAGAAGGCATTTTTCGTACACAACATTCAACGTTTCCAATATGCCTAATCGTTCACATACCTCTGTCATCAGATAACCGACCACTCCAAGAAGCAAAAGAACACCGCAAGTTGCAGTTAGACGAAACATGACATCGTTTGTTGGCGACCATGTTGACATGGGGTCGTACCTGTCCAGACTAACAACACGCCAAGACTGCGGTTGTTTGTGCAAACCTATGCGTATTCTCCACGTATTAATGTCCACACCCATTCTTCACATTCCTGTGTCTGTATTCCTCATAAGTATGCTTTCCGTGTTAGCATAATAAACCAGTGTTCAGCGTTTCCATGCGGAGCTCCGCACACCCTGTCTGCACCCGGCGGCCATTAAATTATCTTGGCATATTATGAAGCAGGTATTACATCCGTAACTAGACTTGTGAAACTGATGTGACTGCATCGGGCCTCTGTTTACCGAGATTTGAAGAAATTTGACACAGGGTTAGGGACAGAGCGACAGGCTGGATCGGGACGTCGTGCTACTCTTGGGGAACATGACAGACGACGTATCGCGCGTCTCGCGGCGGCGTACCCAAACTGGTCTGCAAAACAGCTTGTGAAGGCGTCAAGTCAAGAAACCCCTAAGGTATCAGAATGGACAATCAGAAGATCTTTAAAGCAATCTGGATTTGTCAAGCGAGTGCCGAAGAAAGTTCCATTGATGACAACAGCACACATGGAGAAAAGGCTCGAGTGGTGCATGGAAATGCAGGGTACAGACTTTTCAAATGTGATTTTTACGGACGAATCAAAGTTTCAGTTTTATAGGATCACAAGAAAGAGGTGGTCAAGAGGTGGACGTAGCTGCAAAATGGTTGCGAAGTTCTCACCCAGTGTCATGGTTTGGGGTGGTATAGGCAAACTCGGTGTAACGCCGCTGCTAACTATTACAGGAAGGATGGATTCACGCAAGTACTGTCAACTTATACAAGAAGGCATAGTGGAATCCCATATAGGACAGAGTGGAATACCTTTCAAACTTTTACAGGACAATGCACCTGTACACAAGTCAAGACACACCTGTAACTGGTTTGAAACGAGACCTTACAGAAATTTCCAGCGGCATCACCAGTCCTGAACCCAATTGAAAATGCGTGGCAGATTATGAAGGACAAATTAGAAAAGTTGGAACCGAAAAGCGGTCTAATCTCACCAGTCAAACATGGGTGGACCTACCCCAGGACTACATAGACAATTTGATTGACAGCATGGGACACCGTATGCAGCAGTGCATCGAGAGAAACGATGGACTAACAGACTATTGACTTGCATAAATGTGTACTTCAGTATCAAGAGTGGATGTATGCAAAATATAACTGAATTTATCAGTAAATAAATTTTGAAACTACTTCTGTGAAAAGTCGCATTTTTTCTGCTCGTTACTGTAGTTATTCACAACAACATTAGTCATACCTTTCCAGGTCAAAATATACGTTAGACGTCTGAGTTTGTGTGCTGACGATTAGGTGCCTGACTTTGAGGGTGTTGGTTCGAGTCCCGGATGGGACTCAACCCAACAAAAGTACTAGAATCTGTACTTTACTGAGAAAATGTAATCCCAAATATAACTTAAACGAAACTTAGATGAACTGTTGTTTCCATATTCTCAGCATAGAAAAGGTCATTTCACTGTCGATGTACCCAGCCAATGATTATACATGTGGCATTTTCACAACATGAAAAGCATGTGCATTTCTAAACCTATCAAAATGTAAACCCAGTTTACAGGAGTTTTGAAGGAATCATATTTGATGACACTTTTCTAATAGAAAGGAAACATCACACTAACCATGAATCTTTGTAATGGATTGAGTTATTGTTTTGTTGTGGGAAGTTCAATTTTGTAACCTAATCAAGCAACGAGAAAAGATGTGTTTGACACGAGCTTTCTCTTTAAATCGAAAGGAAATGTGAAAACCTACACCCAGAGGTGAACTTTGGTCAAGCAGACAGCAAATGGGTACGACAGTGCTCTTTACAGATAAAAGTTGGGTCAGTCGGTGTCGAAACGATGTTCGAGTTTGAGGAGAGCGACTGGCACCAAACTGCATTCAAGAACTTCATGCGTTCAATGGAGGTGGCGTCATTTGTAGCCAGAGAACAACAAGACCGGTTATCATCAGCGACAACAGCCAAGAGGAGTCATTTTGCAGCACGACAACGCAAGGCCTCACACCACCAGAATTGTTCGAGAATACCTGCACAACGTTAACGTCAACGTATTGCCTTGGTCAACGCCTTCTCCAGACATGACCCCATTAAACATGTCTGGGGCCGTCTTCATCGTTAACTTAGACCACGGGAACTTGAACAGACTCACTTGGACTTATTATTGCTTGACTCCTGTGTCATTATGCACTTTTTGAATGAACTCTGATTTGAATAATGTTTAATTTTGACCCCTTGACTCTTTCTTAATGAATTGCGGCGAATGCAAGACCAACATTTCAATGGATTTTCAAACAAATAATTGGAAAAGTATTTCTGTTCTGATAAAAGAATTATCATAAATCTCGCATTCATCTTTGTTTTTATACTGAAGCAAACTAGAAACGTCACAATCATATATTAAATAATATATAAAAGTAAGGCCACAAAAATGTGGTATAGAGGTTATTATTCACATAGGGTGAACTGAGAATCACCATAATGCCAAAATTGGTTCAATGTGGTTACAGAATTTATCAATAAAAGGCGTAAACACAGTGTCAACTCACAAGAAATTGAAACTGTATGGCCACCTCGTGCGTTCACAAGTGTCAAGCAACGCCTCCTCGTGGACTGTCTGGTGCATGTAAACACATTATTGGGGAGTCGGCGCCATTGTTCCAGGAAAGCAGCACCAAGATCCTGCAAATTCTAGGATTGGTTCATGAGAGTGTGCAGACCTCTTCCAAGAGCATCCCAGATGTGCTTGATTGGACTGAAATCGGGTGACCTTGACGGCCAGTCAAGAACGTTGATTCCTGCGTTCTGCAGGTAATTCCTGGTCAAGTTGGCTGTATGGGGTCTGGCATTGTCATGATGAAAGTGCAGACCTGGGCCATGTGCTGCCAGGCATGGAATAAGTTCAGGGGCTGCAGCAGAAATCGGGAATGGGCAATCCCACAGAAATCACACCGAACCATGACACTGCCGCCCCCAAATCTGTCAACTTCCTGTACACAAAACTGAGCATGACGTTCACGGCGTCGCCTCCACACTTCTCATCCCATCATCAGGGAATCGGAGGGTAAATCTTGAATAATCGCTGAAGACAAGTCGATTCCAGTCTCTCTGAGTCCATCGGAGGTGTCGTCGGGCCCACCGCAAACGCTGACGTTGATGGAATGGCGTCCAAGTGGTTCCGCGATATGGTCGTCGAACAGGAAAGTCAGCAGTGAGCAGCCGGTTTCGGATGGTTTGTGTCATCTCATTTCTGGTTCCTGTAGCCGTCTAAAAACGGTCACAGAGGTGACGTAACACAATTTGACGGTCCTCCGACTGTGACGTCACACGTGGTCGACCTGGCCTAGGGCGATCAGCAGTGGTGCCAGTTTGTTACAGTCGAGTCTGTAAATCAGTCCGACGGCCGCACAGCGTTGTCCCGTGCAACGTCACTTACTGACGTTCCCGCTTCCAGCATGCCAACGGCAAGTTCACACTGCACATTTGAGAGGCGCGGCGTAAGAATTGGCTGTTCTTGTTAGTGCTTTAAAGCCATTTTTCACTTTGTACAGTTGATGGGAACACGTGCCATCGACTGCACGTGCAATGATAACATCACGTGGCCAGTGGCACGTGAAAAACACGTTTAAGCACTATTGTGGGGTGCACGGTGTTTGGATTGACTTCAATGTACTGTGGTTACTTTATTCTTGAGTCGATACTTGGGGATTAATATTATGATACCCGAAAACTGTCTACTATAACAATTCATATTTTTATTTACAAATATAATTCTGAAGTTTATATTTGACTCAGTTTATTATTATTTATAGACCCTTTTCAGTAGTACTAGTAAACATATTGTCAGGCGATGAACTGTTCACTTTGAGCCTAACATCACAACATTCTCTTCTATTTCAGGGAACAAGTCTATAATTGATTGGACGCCGAACCATTCTCCACCTTACAAAGCAGAAACGCAATGGGTCTGCAAATCTGATAGCACCAATATTTTGACTGAAGATGAGGCACACAAGAGTCACTTAACCCGCTTCAAGGAAGATATTTGTCAAAAGTTTAGAGCCTTTTTGAGGAGAGTTTCGACTGGTTCCGTGATATTTACCTTCCATCATGAACACACAGAAGACGCTCTGGAGATGGTCAGTAAACATAGGGAAGTGACAGCCATGATCCTGGAGTGTCTCCATGGGATAGATTCTACAGTGACGGACATCCAGATTCAGGTCCAGCTGCAAGACTTCATAGGTAAGTTACCCTGGGAATTCCGGATGGAACTAAGTCCACAGTATCCCGTGTCGGTCCTGATGCTGTGACCTGGTTGATTGTGTGTCATCCTACCCGAAGAGGTATCCTTACATTGTAATGGTTCATTGTGGGCAAGGGTATCTCAGCTTTTTTTTTCAGATTCATTTTTTTATTCAGTATTTCGGGCCTAAAGGCCTATAGTACAAATACACTTGCTACAATTATATGCACGTGGTGGTTGTGGTGACATTTCTTGCATTGAAGACATGTTTTAAATAAATAGCAATAGATTTGATAATATCAATATTTTTAGAATTTAACAGACTGGACAATATTTGTTCATCTCTTACAGGTGTTGGTACAAATGATAAATACTTACTTCTTAAACCTAAATACTTGGTACACACAAATAATACATGAAATTCACTTTCAATATTACCTGTATTACAATTTTTACAGATGGATTCATTTACATCACTGAAAGCTCTATTGGGTTTGCGTAAATAGTGAATTCTAAAATCATGAAAGCCAATTCTAAATTTACACAACGCCGAATTAACGATTTGTCTTGTAGGTTCATAATATAAAACTCCGGTTCTAACAAAGATTTATGAGAAGAATAGTGTTCTAAGAAACTTGAATTATTTATAGACATAGGCCATTCTTGGAAGAAAATGTCCTGAAGACGTTGCTTAAAAACATATAAAAATTTACATTCATTTCAAACCATTTGTGAAATCCACACATGAGAAAATCCAGTCGAAAAAAGTAACTGTCTAACCTCTGATGCCCAATTAAGCTTGCCAATATCATCTTGTAGCTTTAGGAAAATATAACTTTGCCTTGGGTACCTATAAGAATCCATTTTTAATAATTTCGGCCAAAATTTTATTACTCGTAATCTGGTGAGTACAAATATATTGCAACGACCAGTTTCCCCTAGTACAGCCTTATTTGAAGCATACTTTCCCAAATTTAGGAAGCATTTAAAATATGATGCATGAACCTTTTCTATACAATGAAAATATTTAGTTCCCCAGATTTCGGACCCATATAAAAGAATCGGTAAAATCTTACAATCAAAGATGGTACAGGCAGTTTTGAAAGAAATAAAAGAATTCTTTTTGAATAACTGATATACAGATTGCATAGCCTTTGATGCTTGAACAGATAAATGTTTACAGGCTGTTGACCAGTTTAGTCTGGATGAGAATATTAAACCCAAATATTTATAATACGAAACACATTTCAGCCTTGTATTACCATAATACCATCCTTTTTTAACACACCTCCATTTCTAAACACAATAATATTAGTTTTTGTTAGTTCAGCTTTGTTATCAATGGATGGTATCATCACTATTGCCACTATTGATCACAGATATTTATTTACTAAAGTAACTAAGTATGACATTTGGTTTCATCTGCCTTAACACGAGAACAGTCATACGCCTGTCTGCATCTGTCACTTTCGGTTGCAGCAAAGAGAAACTTTCTAGTTCAATCAGCCAAGCTAATCATTTATAGCAAACGCATGATGGTTCTGGGCCATGTTTTGACTTGAAGATCAAAGTCAGAGTCTTGAACTAAACTAAGAAACACACCGGCAACCAGTGAAGATCCTTGAGGATAGGAGTAATGTGGTCATATTTGTTTGTACGACAGACAACCCTTGCAGTTGCATTCTGAACTCTTTGAAGCTTAACAATAATGTTTTGAGGTAGATAAACACTTAAAACCCCAAAGTCCTATGACTTCGACTCACTTTGTATATAAAGCATATGCGTCGATACAATTTGCCTCTTGCTTTTCACGTCCACATGCTGATTATATTCTCACTGACCTCTGGATTATATGTCACCCATGTGTGTATCGCGAAGTAACCATGGTGTATGAAAGAGTCAGCAATAATCTAACCAAGAAATGTAAATTTCAGTTTTCAAAAATTCGTGTACTTTCTGCATGCGACCTTTGAATAGAAAACATAGATTTGTTCGTTTGGCTAATCAAGCAAACATTTTGACCATGATCCACGCCATTTAAACAATTTCTATTTCATTATCCAAATTCCAATGTTTTCTGTCAAAAGCTTTTGCTCATATTTTTATTGCGAAAGTAATTGTGATGGGAATCCAATATGGCCACAAAGAAGTAAGATGTCGAAAGGTTTTGATGCAGGAACACTACAAAAAAATCTATCTGTACAAGCTTGTAAATGTCTTGTAAAGATGAGACATTTACAATTTTGTAAAGATGAGATTTACAAAAAATACAATTTTATAAATATTCACAAAGAGAGATAACTGGTGTGTAATCCTAAAAGATTGTTCTGAATACAGTATGTACGTCCTGCTGTAGCGGCATTAGTGTGTCATACAGATCCCAATACACAACACGAGGAAAGTCTAGATTTCCACAGTTTCAGCAAGCAAAGAACGTCTCTGTGATCCTTTTTATCATATTGCATTAATGTAATTTAGAAACCATTTCTTTTGAAAATACTTTCATATCAGAGACAAGATGTGGCGTGTCACCTAACGTAAATTTGCCCATGAGCCATAATTAGTAAGACGGTCCTTGTATAGTGGATAAGCAGACGGGTTGAAATTGTTTCTGCTTAGCTGTAGGCTAGTTCGACATATCGCGATGTGTTTATTGCCCTAAACACTAAGATTTTCATCTAAAATATTCGTCAACGGAGTTAGTCTAGAGGCTAATTCCTGTAGGAGGAACAGAAAAAAGATCGTGTTCAACACTTACTACATAATAGGTCTGACAACTTAGTTTGATCCAGTTTAGCCTACTCAACATTTCTGGGTACTATGTAATCCCAAATTATAGGGTAGGTAAAACGTTAGGGGTCATTCTTTGTTCCTATCCCTATGGCAAAATGCATGAAATGTTCTGGAAAAATAGTGTCGCATGACTTTCCTTGTAGTGATCATTTTCATTATATGATTCTGTGAAGTTGATTACAAGATTATGCCAAATTACCTAAACTTTTGTGACACTATGTAAATATGGATCAGAAAAAATGTTTGTTTCATTCTTAAAAAGAAATTCTGAAAATAGCACACATTGCTACCTTTCAATATTCTGTTGAGTCATCAAATGAAATTAAATGTATATCGCTACAACGGCATCAAATGAAGATTTGAACAATATGATACACCTAATTGCGAGAAAATGTGTAGTGTATTAAGCAATATACATGTCGTATTTATAGCACCATATTTACAAAAATCAATCCTATTTTGGAAACAGGATAAATATTTATGAATAGATAACAATATTTGTTTTATCCTTCCAGCATTTTTTAGAGCTGTTAACTTTGAAGTTTGTCATAATCTGCTATGTCTCTGAAATTATATATATACTAGTATTAATGTGTGAATAATGGCTGGTCTCATGCCTGTTCCATAACAAATGTGATGGAACACTGACAACTCTTCAGAGAGAAGAAGTGAGTTTATGTCCGTTTACTGTGGTATATTGTGTCTAATGGAATCAGAGATCATAAGGTAGCATCAATAATGTATAACACAAACAAATGAGAGAAACAGACCCCAATATTACCTGTCTGCTCTTCCTTTTGAGACTACTCTCACTGACTAAACGAAAAGGGGGCATTCATTATTTTTACCTCAGTTATATTTTTGGGTCACTTCTTGTTTTTTTACAAGCTATTTGAACAGGTGTGGTATAACACATACATCGAGAGTGATAATTGCACGTTACTTCTTTCAAGGCTCATGTGACCTCGGACACAATGATCAGCACTGTTATACTTTTTATGGAGATATGGGAACCTGTTTGTAAGAGGATAAAGTTTTAAAAAGTGCATTATTTGGCAGACAATTACAAGCAATAATCTCAGAAACGCCAGAGACCCGCCAATTCCTCTTTAAGTTACAACACTGAAGGTTCGTAAAACGATTTGCCCAATCTGACAAATGGTTTACATTCGTCTACTCGCATTCAAATTTTGAAGTTTTCTGTCATTCAAAATATCGTGAAAGTACAACCAGTAGACATAACGTTGTATTGAGAAAAGAAAGTCTTTTTTCTTCAACATTGTCAGCAAGAGAGTTTGTCATTGACGTTAATATACATACTTCAAGAGATTCTGCACACCTACTATCACCTTCACTCACTGTCCCAACAGACTGGTCAAAATGTATATTTTGTGAAAACACGAACCGCAAATGTGTGACAGACGTTGTAAATGTGAGAACACGTATGCCAGACTGTTTTGAAAGCAGCAGAATTCGAGGGTAATGAAGATTGGCTGTACAGTCTTCGTAGTGATTTCGTGGCTTCAGAAGCAAAATACTACAAGACCTGTTTCTCAAATTATAAGCAGGTCTAATCTCAAGTTTCTTTAGGTATAAGGTATATGTCATTTAGTTATTTTTATTCTGTCTCTTTTACCATGGGAATGTGTGTGATGGAACACCATGAAAATCTGTAATTCCATGAAATCCCTTGAAATGTTAAGGGAATACATGAAATCCCTGGGGGTCACAGGGATATCACGATGTCACTGATTCTTTTAGGGATTACGTGAAATCCCTGGTTTCACACATTCCCCGTTACATATACAGGTACTCTAGTACCACCAACAGTGAGATCTGTTCACTTAACCTATTCTAATGGCGAGAATACAGTTGAAAATGCTGAAAAGAAAAAACAAAATCTATCACACAGCCAAACGTCGTACCGGTAAATAAGAAATTAGTGAGTGCCACGGCAAAAACCAAACCAAACCACTCAAATAACAGAAGCAACGTTAGCTGTGTCAAGAGCTACTTTACCTGATAGTTTGTATTGGCTTCTCTGTTGGATCATCTCAAATGCAGGGAAGGATGGCGAGAAGAATTCATCACTTTTGTATGTCACAGTTAGGCAGATGAGAGACAAAGTATATTGCATGCACAGGGAAGAGTACATTGTGCATTCCATGCACGTATTAAAACACCTAAACACGAATGGTTTCATAGT